GGGGGTTAGCTTAGCTTAACAAAAAAAAAAAAAAAAAAAAAAATTAAAAATGTAAAATAATAACAAAATAAATAATAAATGAAAAAAAAAACTAAAAACATAAGTAAATATAGTAAAATAAAATTTACCAATAAAAATTAAATAAATAATTATTTATTTTCCTTTTCATTATAAACTAAAATAAACCATAAATAAATATATGTAGTAAAATAAACCTTGAAATTTACCTTAAAAATATATTAAATAATGTAAAATAAACAATAAATAAATATAGTAAAATATTAGTAATAATAATAGTAATAATATAGTAAATAATTAGTAATAATAAAATAAATTAAATAAAAATAAGTAAATTAATAAAGTAAAAAAATCATAAATAAATATAGTAAAACAAACTAGTAAACCATACAAAAATATGATTTAAACGACTTGCATAAGGTGCTTTATAGCAAAAATCTAAACTGTATATCCCACCCAATTATCCTTCACACTCGGACAAGGGCAAACGGCTTAAAGCCAATTAACATGCGCTGCGCATAAACATTTAAATGCTTATGTGAAGAGCTGAGCTTAGGAGTGAGCCTTAATATATTGCTGCATTCATTTGAGAGCAGTTTTTATGCTTGTGTCGCATCTTTATCTGGATCAGGAAGTTGGGTGTGAGTGTGTGTGTGTGTGACAAACTCTTTTTCTCGTTTTTACGGTTCGTTGACTGCTGCTGGTCATCAAGCAGCTCTTCAAATTCATTTATACAGCTTTGCCACATGTCTGAGTGAGCCTGGCAGGAAAGCAGGAAGCAGGAGGCAGGCAGGGAGAGGGTGCTTGAGGTTGTTGTCGATGTATGTAAACTCAAAGCGTAAACACAGCAAACGATGACAATCAACATCAGGAACAACAACTGAATACTCGTTCTCTGCTAAGCAAAGCAAGCACACGCGGGGGAGCTCATATTGTGTGTCAGGGGAGGCAGAGGGACGGGGAGGCGGGGCAGACAAACAGTGCGACAAATCAACCGAGTCCTGCGGAGTCGAGAGGCAACAAGCATCATCAAATAGAGGAACGAGTGTGCGTGTGTGCTGCTATTAAATGCAATTACAGGCATGCCATTTCCACACCCACACAGACACACGCACACCCACACACACACTCACACTCGCACCCACACCAGCAGATATAAACTTACTTGCAATGGCGGCGCATGTCCTCCACCAGCACCGCTCACAATGTCACCATTTGCGGCGCCTGTCAGTGTCCGTCCGGCTCCAGCGCCAGCCTCGTCCTGCGCTGCGGCAGCCACTTGTTGTGCATTGGCAGCGGCTGCCGCCGCTGTTGCCGCCTTGGCCGCGGCGTCAACTGCAAAAAAAAGTAGTTATTGAATAAATGGTAGATATATTATGCCATAATAACAAATAACAATTCGAATGCTAAAGAGTTGAGTTTGCTTGACTTTCAGATACTCTGTATGTACATAAATACATATATATAAAATTTATGTCTGAATGATGAATTATGTAAGCTGTTTAGATAGCTCTTTAGGGTCGTGAATATGTGCAAAATTTAAGCTCAATTTGAGCTTTTCTCTTTCTTACCAAAGGTCAATATATTTTAGCCGTAATAATATAATATAATTATTAATTAATTAATAAATCATAAAATCGTATAAAAATATAAAAATTTTCTATTGGATATTTAAATATAATTAAAATAGCTAAACAATTTTATGACATCCCTTTAAAATTTTAATTTTACATGAATTTCTGCATTCTTAATGAGGAAGGATATATTTAGAAAAATAAATTATGTTTTAACAATTTACACAAAATTGAATTGACAACTCTTAGAAATTGGCTTGAAGGATATTGAATAGAAATGGCTTTTAAGCAGAATTAAATTAACATACATTAAGCGAAGCTTTGGCGTTAGTAAATTTTATAAATAGACAACCAATACCAATTAAAATACGTGAATAATATATATTAATATGAGTGGGAGTTTGCTCTGATATACATAAATTAGACTGCAGCACGAGCTGGAGATTAAATTATAGATAATTAAAATTTAATGGAGACTTGAAATGCAAATTGTACAACTTTAATTGAATTATTTTATTTATAATTAAAAAATATATATATAATAAAAATATTTTTATTATATTTATTATTATTTATATATTAAAAAACTAATTATATAACTCTACCATACTTCAGGGAAGATTCCATTAGGCAGCATCTCTGCTCCATTTGCAATACCTCAAACTGTGCTCCCTTTTATTGCCTTAAAGGGTATATGTATGTATATTTCCTGTCGTTTCAGTCAGTATATATAGTGAAAAGCTTTTAAAAACGTTCGTTGGCTGAATGCAAAATGTGTGTAATGAAATAAATTAATTGCATAAAGTTGAAAATTGCGGCCAAGAGAGGCGTTGGTTGTGCCAATTGCTCGATTGCGTTGGGATTAGGTTGGGTCGGCTGGGAGGAATCGGCGCTGTGAATACTCCAATGAGCGCCAGACACTTTAAACTGTGTGCAGCTCGAATGGGAGCTGCTGGCAGAGAGTGGCAGGCCCACTGGGAATGCGACTGCAGGCGGCAGTGGCAAAAGTCATTTGCATTTATAAATTGGCTTTTCGCAATTCATGAGCAGAATGTCAACCGGGCGCCTTTGGGCGGGAGCGAAACGCCACAAAATGGCATAGAGCGTCAGCCATGGCTAAATTGTGCACTTGTGCATGCAAATGGACGCCAGCACGAATTGCAGCCACCAACAGCAGCAGCAACAGATGCAGACGCGTCTCTGCCCCATTAGCCAGGACGCCAAGCGCCAACTAAATACATTTATATGTAAAATACTAATAAAACTTTAGACATGTGCCGGGCAAACTTAAGTAGAAGAGAGACCGAAATGCCAGCAGCTGGAGAAGTAGACACACTTCAAAGAACTTTCAAACATATGGCTGCAAGTCAGGAATATTGATTTGATCTATGTTTATAAACAGCGCGAGCTTGAATAGTTCTTGAAGCTCCAGGCATGCACCAGATTATGCAAAACTAAAACTCATTTACATTTTAAGTGTTTGCTGATAGCCAAATGCACGTAATGGAATTAGTATTAGATTTTTAAGTGATAAAAGTTTCAGCAAGCACTTAAATTGTCCATATTGTTTAAGCAATTTATTC